CTTTGGTGCACCATTTACCTTAAATCGGATGAAAATACATATGGGAGCTATATCTAAATCTGATCCGATTTTTCCCAATTTCAATGGGGTTCGTCCTTGGGCCAAACAAATGAGCTGTGCCAAATTCCATCCCATTCGGATCATAAATGCGACCTGTACTTTGTTTACAATTTAACATGGACAGACGGACGGACGAACATGAATAAATCGACTCAGAAAGTGATTCTATGCATATTCTCAAAAGGGACCATGGGTCTATCTCGATTATTTTTGACTGTTACAAACATATGCACAAAGCCATAATACCCTGTACCACAGTGTGGTGAAGGGTATAAAAATGACGTTTCAAGGACCTGAGCATATTTTTAAAGTAAATTTTTAGTGAATTTGAAATTTGCTAAGAATTTTCACATTGTTATGGCCCCCATATAATTTTGTATTTTTTGGTTCTCATTGATAGCAAATCTGATTATCAAAAATGATTGCTATAATTTTATGATATCTTACAAATTACGTTTTCACCCGAAAATATCAATATTGTTTTAGGGTTGCCGTCATATAACTATACCCTAGTTATTTCGTATTTTGTGGATTTTGGATACGTTTTTAACCGAATTAGCACATATTTGATATAAGGGTTTTCATTAGTTCTCAAATATCAACTTCAGTACACTATCATGATGCCAGTTCTCATATAATGGGACCCACAATTTCGTTATTTCTATATAGTCGGCCGTAGATAATTTAAATGATTTTAAAGTCAGTTTTTCTCTTTCGAGTCGAGCGTAATAATCGAAGTTTTGCAATGAAAAGAAAAGCCAGGGGAAACCCTACGCACCCACAATTATTCGTTTCGACCTTTACAATAGTCGTATGTTGTTAACATGTATTTATGTCGCAGATAGGGATATGGGTATGGGTTATATTTATTCTGAATACTAAAATAGAAATAATACTGAAATAGAAAGAGTTTCGGACAGTTCTTCAGAAGCCTTAAAAAATCATGCGTTTGATCTGAAGTTTGGAAAATTATCGAGTGCTTGATACGAAATTCGGAAAGAACTCTGAACTTTCGTACGTTTCATTTGAAATCAGTAAAAAATGCTGACATTTATCGGCTTCTTAAATCGAAATTCGGAAAAAATCGGAATATTTTCGAATATTTATTTAATTCTTTTATTATTATAAATTCAATTTTACGTCTGGGAGGGAATCTGCTCAATAAATAGGCATGACTGTTTTCATGGAGATTGGCCAATATTTATCGGATAAAGTGTGCCCAGAATTTTGTGTGAAAAATTACAAAGTTTGTATTATTGTATTACAAAGTATTTACTCCTGTAGGACATAGACCCTAGAAGTTGATAGTAAATCCAAAGCGAGTTGTTGACCTTTAAGTTGATACCAATTATATTGTTTTATGTACTCGGATGTGAGGGTAATACCTAAATATTTAAAGGTGTCTATGTGATAGGATATTGTTTAGTATTATGATAATTATTATTGGGATGATAATTATTATTTTTTGTGAGATTTTCTAGTCGCTCTAGAGGAAATTATTATATGCAGAACTTTACATACTTTGCACGGTGAAGGAGATTCAACAACTAAGCATAAGCAAAACATATCAGAACCATATAAACATTGTTTGTTCGTTTTCGTTTCCAATAACTTTCTTTTAGAGAATGTGACCATTACTCGGAAAGAATCGGAAAAAAGTTAATGAATACAGAAAATGAATTGTGTTCTTCTGTTCTTGTAAACAAAATATACACAACTAGCAAAGTGCCCGCTACTTTGTATGCTAAATTCCAAATCGCAGGATCCAACCAAATCCAAATGGTTCCAAATATAGTACCATTTCTAAAACTACATCAATCTTACTCTCCAACAGTAATCTTAATTCCACCAAAGTCCAAATTTAGTACTTTTCGTACTCATAAGTACGAATTTCAAAATCTACCTCAATCCTTATTTCAAATAGTAATCGTAAGTCAAAATTTAAGAATTCCAGCTCTGTCTGTTCATCAAAAACCAAATTGTACCAGATTTTGAACCATTCTGTACTTTTCGTACCCATATTCCAAACTTTATCAAATCTACACTCCCACAGTAACCTAAGTTGCAACTTTCGGTATTCGAATTCTACCCGTTCACCAAAGTCCAATTTGTACCAAATTTTATGCTCTTCGTACCCATAAGTACGAATTTCCAAAACTACCCCAATCATGTTCTCCAATAATAACCTTTAGTCCACATTTAAGGATCCCAGCTCTATCCGTTCACCACACTCCAACAGTAATCCCATCCCTATCTGTTCACATAAATCCAAATTGTAGCATGTTTTGTACCATTTAGTACTTTTCGTACTTGAATTTGAATTTTCAACACTGTCTCAATCCTGTACTCTAACAGTAATTTTATTTTCAAATATAAGTTTTTTATCTCAATCTAAATAAACATAGTACCATTTAGTACACATAATCATGTATTTTCAAAACTACCTCCATATCTCAATCCTACACTCCACCCTTAATTTTGATTCCAAATTTTAGGGTTCCCGCTCACATAAAACAAATTGTACCCTATTTAGTACCATTCAGTGCTTCTCGTATCCAAGAGTACGAAATTCCAATGCTACCTTAATTCTGTGATTTGCATTCTAAATTTAAATTTTCCATTCACTCTGATCTAAACTGTACCAAATTTAGTACTATTTAGTACACGAAATGACAAATTTTCAAAACTACCGACACATTTCAATCCTGCACTCCAACATTAATATTAATTTAATCAAAATTTCAGGATCTCAACCCTATCCATTGATACCATTTAGTACTTTTTGTTTCTATAATTAAACTACGTCAATCCTACACTTCAAAAGTAATTTTAATTCCAAAATTCTAAAGTCCAAGCAGTACCATTTAGTACACATTCGTACTATGCTTCCATATCTTAATTCTATATTCTAAAAGCAACCATTATTTCAAATTTTAAGTTTCCAGCTCTCTCCGTTCATCCAAATCCAAATTGTACCATGCCGTTTAGTACTTTTCATACACACAAATACGAATTTCCACAGGTTTTAAGTTCATCCAAATTTCAGGTTTTAAGTTCATCCGTTTAAGCAAAATCCTATTCGAAATATCAAAGTTGCAAAACAAATTGATAGTTCTGTTCAAAATTTCGATTTCGTTAATATTTTGTTCGAAGTTGGGGGTTTCAGTATACGAATAAACAACACTGACTTCAATGCAAACTATCTTACAAAGCTGATAGAAATTATTCACCGCTCGACTTTTTTTTTATATAATTTCATTAATAAATTCAATTTGTTGATTAATTTACATTTCAAATTTGTATTGAAAGTGAAAACAAGTGAAAATACGAAATTTCGTAAAACAAACAATAGGGAAAAGAAGAAGATTACTTTCTGGATGTACGTGAAGTTATTTAAAAGTTGGACGTGCTTGGCAATCAATTAAATGGAGAAATTCAATTGCGGCAATAAAGACAAATGGTTAATATGTGATAACTATTTAGGTAATTCTTTTAACAATTAGTTGGTTAGTTAGATGGGGAAATCTAAAAAAGGGGAAATTTTATAAAAACGAAATTGAGAAATTCCAATAAAATGGCGAAATATAAGCAATTAAAATTTTTTGGAAAGAAAATAATTTGATTTATGAGAGAGATTTCACTTTATTTCTCAAAATATTTAACATGGTATATTTGAAGTAATTATTTATTATATTCTGAAATAAAATTCCCATTAGAAATACTGTCTGTGAAATATTTTTTTTTTGCACAAAAAATATTCCATGGGGGTTTTCTAAATTAGCATCTTGGTTTTCTTTTCTCTTTTTTTTTTGCCTTCCCCCCAAATACTTTAATTGCTGTTATCCTTATCTTTATTAACTATGACAAAGGATTTATTTTCTATGAAACACCATTTATGTACTCCCTTGTGCCTTGTTATTAACTTCATTTGATTTTATGTAAAAAAAAAACAACAAAAAATAACTGCCTCTGGCAGATTAATAAGGGATTGTTTAAAATTTCTTAGATGTCTGGCGTTAATTATAACAAAATATTTTCTTATGCTTTGTAAAGAAATTTTCGTGTTAATTACCCTTATAATATCTTTCAGATTTTTTTTGGATAACACAATTTTCCAACTCCTCCCAGCTCATTATAAGCAATTATTTACATTCTGCTCAAATAACAGAATTTTTGTTAGGAAAAATATAAAGAAAAAGAAAACACTTTGAAATTTTTCATAAAAAACAATATACATTTTGTTTATTCTACTTAAGTACATTTTTTGTTTCTTAATTTTTTCTCATTTTTGTTGTTTTTTTAATATTACAAAATAAATAAATTAATTAAAGCGAAAAAATAAATAAATATTTTATATAAATAAATAAGGTAGTAAGCAATCAACTAATACAAAAATTAAAGAAAGCTAGACCCACAACAAACTCTATTGTTGTTGTTGGGCTTTACAAGAGTTCGCCGAAATAAAAAAACACGTCCATTTCATTTATAAAAATAATCTATAAATGAAGGGAAACCCGAATTATTTGGAATTAATGATGATGCTGTAAATGTGAACTGACATGGACGGTAATAAACCGGAAATAAGGAAATTGACATAACCAGCTTGAATGGGGTGGTGGCGATGGCTTAACACACACAAATCAATCAAATATTAACAATTTGTGCCCACTTCAAGAATGATGCGTCCTTTTTTTTGTCTTGTCAAGTATTGACTCAGTTTAAACATTCTTTGCATTCTCATTTGTTTCAGTGTCTTTCTTGTGCCTTTCTTTTTCATCTTTGTAAAAAAAGTTGTTTGGTTGGTTTTTGTTCAGAGTTTCCTTTGAGGTTCCATAAGGAGGGCATCAGCAGAGGGGTTTGTTTTTGTTGGGTAAGGATTGAGGCGGTTTATTTGGTTGTTGTGATTTGGTTTTCTTTTTTTGTTTTGGTTTCTATAAAGCTTAGTTGTAAGCATTATAGGCCAAAGTTTGGGCAGCGGGGTTTGTTTCATATTGCTCTACACTAGAAATAGAACTGACCGAACGACCATCCCAAGGACCGTGAGCAGTGATGTGGGCTGAATGATGTTCAGAGGCGATCTGTAAAAAATAAATAAACGAGATGATTAATAAAATGTAATTAATTTGAAGGCTAGCGCCTTTGTGATTTGATTAATAATGCATAATATTTAAGGTTCATATCGAAATTTCTAGTTAGTTTGTATCTTTATATATAATCCGATGATTTTTACAAAGTGATGTGATAATATTAGTCGAAGGACCAAAATAATATGAACTAAAATTATTAAATATCATCCTATTCTTTAAAAATGTTCCTCTATTTTGTTTAGAAATATATGAGCTAAGGATAGGATAAATACTGGAAGAAAGAAATGTTTCGAAGTAATTCCTTATGGCTTCAATATGTAGCCTTTAGAAAATATAAGTCGAAGGACCAACATTTCTGTATTTTGGGCTTTAATTATATTATAGTATCTCCGATGAGCGTAAACGAGGAAGTCTATTTAAATATTTTGTTCATCCCATGTTTACTTAGACAAATAAATTTGCCTGGATCGCAATTTGATTTGCTTGTTTTTGCTAACTCTGAAATACCATAAGCAGGTCCTCTTTATCTTGACAAATAGTGGCTCTTAATGTAATTTTTCTATAGCTTTAATTGCGGGATTGCCATTTAATTCCCATAATGCCGTGAACTCCTTAAAAAATACTTTTGCTATCTAAAATCTCTAGGTGAGCTAGAAATAGCAGGAAAACTATCCAGGATTGCAAGAGGCTTTTATGTTGCAAGAGTACAATTCTACGTATTTTGTTGAAGGAAAGTGCCAGATAAACCAGCTTGGTCCAAATAAACTAACAAAGACTCTCAGCATTCCTTTAAAGCATTGTTTTACGTTGAAAAACTTGTCATGTAAAAATGTTTAAGCCACTTTTTCATTGGCAACATTTTAAAATGTTTGGCAACATTTTACGAATATAGAAGTTCGTTTGCAACAATAGATTTAAAATCAGAAAATTTGACAGTAGCTGAACTTAGAGAGAAGAATGGTCTCAATTTTGTGTGGGGGTATTTAAATGCAAATCATTTTAAGGAATCTATATACACTGGAAACATTTTGGAAATGTTGAGGAGACAATGTTGAAGCAGCATCTGTTATAGGGGAAACTTTATCTGCAGCTAAGATTTGCAGATGATAGTGTGAGCCAGAAAGACCTTGTTGGTATTAAAGAATGGAATTGTCCATTGGCAACATTTTTGAAATGTTGCTAAAACAATGTTGCTAAAACAATTATTGTTGGACTTTTGGAGTTGTTGGAATTGAAGAATGGAATTGTCCATTAGCAACATTTTTGAGATGTTGCTAAAACAATGTTGAGGCAACATTTGAGTTTGAGTCCCAAAAACTTTGGGAAATAAATCCCAGTCATGTGGGAAAATCTGCAGCTAACCTTTGCATAGTTTCTTGGTTACCATAAAGGACCTAATTTTATTGTTGGACTTTTGGCAACATTTTTTAAATTATTTATGAAACATTTTTGAAATTTCAATTAATTATGTCCTAAATTAATTTTATGTCCTAAATGATTCTTAAAATAATGAAAGATGAGACATCACATGCTTGAAATAGATTTGTAAATCACCTAAATTTTCTTTTGGAACAACTTTGTCAACATTTTAAAAATGTTGACGGAACAATGTTGAACCAACATTGTTGCTGGGTATGCAATACCAATTGCATATCATCTATAAGTTTCTGATTTTTAATTGACCTTTAGGCCCTTGATTTATTTATTACAGACATATTATCGAGTTTGCAATCTGGTTATATCTATTATGTGGGATTTTACGCTTTATCGAATGGCAACCTTTTTGAAATCTTAATGATGCAGTGTTGCAGCAACATTTCTACTTTGACAATATTGTTCAATGTTGATGATACACTGAGGAGCAACATTTTATTGTTGCTGTGCACCTTTCTAAGAAATTAAATTAAAGAAGGGTAAATGTCCGAGAGCTCGATCACGAATGGATTCGTTCAGGACTAACGAGAGGTAATCCGAGTATTAATTGTGGTGTCAAAGTAACTATGTTGTTGAAAAAATCTTGAAATATTGAGATGAACTTAAGTTATAAGAAATAATTTTTGTGAGGCTTGTAGGTATTGTTTTTATTGCTCTGAATTTTGTTTCAGACAAACATGCGAAGATTGGAAGTGGTATTGAAGCCGCCCTGGAGTTGTAGATGGATAGCAACATTTGAAAGGATGTCAGTTTACGTTACCAACATTGAATTTAATGCAGAAGTAATGGATTATTTTTAAAATTTCAAAAATATTTCCTGAATATTTTTAATTGAGACAAAAGATGCAGAAACTATTTTCAATGGAAATAGTTTTGTGGTTTTGATTTTTTCCGAAAATGTAACAAGTGCTGACGTTAAATCAATGCTCTTCAATGTTGAGATACATTTGATGCTGTTGGGAATGTTGCCAAATGATTCTTATAGCGTATATAAAGGCAGTGATGTTGAAAGTTCCGAATTTAAGATAAATATTCCTCTATATGGTACGCTTATCCGAGAAATTCAGGGTTTTAAAAATGTGCCAATGTTGAGAAACATTTCTGAACAACATTTCAACATTTTATAGAAGTCTTTAAATGTTCACAGATTGTAAGAATGATATTCTTATGATATCTGATCCGATATTTAGGACACGATTATTAATGTTGAGAATAACTTTCAATGTTTAGAAACAATTGTTTATGTTGAGAAACATTTCTTTATGTTGCGACACTTTTTTTAAAGTTGATGCAGCATATGATAATGTTGCGAAACTGTTTTAATTGACTATTATTGGGAATGTTTTCGGATGATATTTTAATTTTATGGCAATCACTTTTTTCACTAATTTTTTGAAAATGTTTTAATCATGAATTTTGGAATATCACTTTTGTATAATTTTTTAAATTTCTAAAATTTCGATATGAAACCCGTCTTTCAATGATTACGTTACGTTAGTAGTGACCATGTGGTTGTTGGTACGTGATTTAGGGATTATGGCTTTTGTTATGTAATCGAAAAAAACAATAAACAAAAGGGAAATGAGAGCCGAAATTCAGTTGGGTTGACTGTTTTGTTGTAGAGTGTCAAGAGTTCTTTGTTGATAGGTTGGAAGATTGGTTGAATGAATGTGGCACGTGTAAGATATATTGCCATAAGTAATTATATAATTACCTATTTATGTCTTTGGTTTACTACGTTTTTTGGGAAAAATAGTTTCAAGAGAGGAATCTTTTTTTTTTGTAAATCGGAAAAAAATCCTCCAATCGTATACACTTGTTTAATTTGGTTTTTTTTTTGGCTTAATAATATTAACACTTCTTTCACTCTTTGCAACGACCAATGAATTTTGGCTCTCAAACTCTCACACCGTTTTTTTTTTCTTAACAACTCACAAAAGCCTAGAATTGAAGAAGAGAAAACCATTCTTAAGTAAATTTTGTTTGCGGGAACTTACCTTCTTGCACACTTGGAAAATGGCCAAACCAACCGAAACAATGAATGAGAAGAAACCCAAGCCCAAAGCGTTCAAAGCCTTAATCTTCAAGATACCAATAGCCATGGGGATAATGGTGATGGCCTTCAACAAGATCAAAACCATAATGGGCATGGCCATTTTACGCAAACGGTGTTTCTTGCCTATATGGTGGAGAGGGAAGATAGAGAAAGAGAGGGAAGAAATTGTATATGTTAAATGATTAGATATGAATTCATGCAACAACACAAATAGCATGCAACACACCCTTCTTGAAAATGCTTCCTTTCTTACCCTTGCCTTCGACGACACCGTCACCATTGAATTTGACCTTCAGACTTAATTCGTCATCGGCCAAATTGCGTGAGGAGACAGTGACTTTGGCATCAGCCATAGGCAAGTCCATGGTAACGTCGTGTCCCTTCAAATAGCTTTCGACCGAATCGAAGAAGCTGCCGGCGGAACGGCCCTCGGTGGCGGGAGCTTGATAACCATTGGCGGTGACTTCGACATCGTTGATCTGGAGAGAAGAAAAAAAAATTGGGAAATTTTTAAATGATCTTTTTATCTTTATCTGATGTTGATCTCCAACATACCTTGAATTCATCTTTGTTCATAACAGTGTCCACAAAACGCATAGCCCTCACCTTAACACAGGCCATGCTATCACTGCCGCTTTCACATTTGGCACTCTCATCATCGATCATGCTCTGCATGTTGACGGCATGACAGCCGATGGCCGAAAGGCCCAATAAAGCCACAAGGATCATGTATTTCGAGGAAATCATGTTTATGTCCGATATCCGTTAGCTACTAACTCTACTACTTCGTCTTATTCTCAAAATGAAACACCTGAGCTGTGGTCAGTGTGAAATGACAATTGCAAATAATAATTAAATTTCTATTGTCCACGTTTTTTATACTAAACATTAAGCAGACACAAAAACATAAAACAAAAGCCCGGGCCGTGAACGACAAAAAATCAATCGATTTCTGGCTCTCACAAAAATGAAATTCACTGTCAATGGTGGATGTGTACAAAAACTACAATGTAATGCTGTTGCCGCTACTGCTGCTGCTACTGTTAGTGTTGTTGGCCAATTCAAATGACAGACATGGCCCTGCATTAACCAGTCAATCGAAGCCCGCCAGCCAGCCATCGAGCCATAGCCACCTGTAACAGCAACAACTTTAGGGATCATGGCTGAGAGAAACCCACGGCACAACAATGGTTGGGTATGGGGTTGGTCATGGCTGGGCTAATTTGAAACACGATTTTCTCATTTTCAAAGAGAGCCAACAGTAATTTTGGCCATTTGTTTTTGTAGCTGAGTTTGATTGGTCACTTGGACGTATACTTAATATTTGCGTTCCACTCTATTATGCCATTGTTGCGGCTGCTTCCTCCAACTTCTTGTGGGCTCTTGTGGGTATGTGTGTGTGCGTATGTTGGTAGTTGTTGTTTTTTTCTTCTTCTTTCATTTCTCAAAAATTCATTCATGACTTTTTGCTGGCATTTGATTTGGGAATCTTCTCACGTTTTTTGTTGTGTTTTTCGTCTTCTTTTTTTTCACTGCCGTTGATGTGTACAAAAGAAATGTTTGATTTTTATTCAATAAACAAAAATCGTATTCGTTGGTTTACAATTGTCTGGCTTCTGCAATTGCTCGCTGTGGTTGTTCTTGTTGTTTTTGATCGTTTTTATGACCCCACAAAATGGTCAATCGATTTCTGGCTTTGTAATTTTTTTTATTTGATAATTGTAATGCGATTAAAACTATAATGCCTTATTCACATATTAATTCAATTCAATTTTCACCAAACAGCAAGTGCCTTCAAGTGGTGTTCTTGTATTTTTCGTATATTTCATTGGAAATACACGTATATATATATATATATGTATATATTTACAAGGGCGATTATTAATGCTCTTTGTATATATATTTAACTTCTAAGAATTTAACAACCAGTTCCAAGAACATTAAACAATAAATTATGATGTTGATGCTACAATTTCCTGAAGCAAAGTTATTTTCCATCATCATTTGGCTTGGGTAGAAAATCCTCTTAACCTAAGCCTGATGTAATATATGATTACCTAAAAGTACACAGTGATAAGAAAACATAGAAATATGATTAGCATTTTAATGTGCTAGAACATTTTTAGATGCACAGTTTTTAATGGGTGTGGGGTTTTGTTGGATATTCCTAGCATATACAATTTTACGTAGCTAAGGTGATTAGGTCTAAAAAAAATAGCACCTAGCACTTTTTTAGCATTTCATTTTTAATTCAAAATTTTTAGTATCACTGCAAAAAATTCTCGTTTTTAATTTTTCAAGATTTTCAATGGGCTGGTAAATGAAAACAAATGCTTGTTAAGGTTTGTAACTTTGAACATATATAATTGAAGATTTAAAAGAGAAGAAAAATAATTTACAAACAATTTTTGTTATTGTTTTGTTGTTGTTTTTTGTAATTATTTTTGATGGCGGGCATGATAACTCCTCACTGGAACATCGAAAAATCCGATAAAATTCCAAAAACGGTGTTAGAAAGAGTACATGTCTGGCTTTATTATATGAACTAGGATTATTGACGTCGCTCTAAAATTAACAAAATGGTGGACCTTTGAAAAACCGATAGAGTTGGGAATCCTGAAACTTGGATTTGGGATCACTGAGGGGATGTAGGATTGGGGTATGTAGGAATTTTTGGAAGTTCGTACTACTGTGTACTAAATTTGGTACAATTTGAATTGTGGGTGAACCGATAGAGTTGGAATTCTGAAACATGGATTTAGGATCGCTGTATGTAGGAAGTTTTGGAAATTCGTATTACTGTGTACTAAATTTGGTACAATTTGAATTGTGGGTGGACCGATAGAGTTGGAATCCTGAAACTTGGATTTGGGATCACTGAGGGGATGTAGGATTGGGGTATGTAAGAAGTTTTGGAAATTGGTGCTACTGTGTACTAAATTTGGTACAATTTGAATTGTGGGTGAACCGATAGAGTTAGAATTCTGAAACATGGATTTAGGATCGCTGAGAGGGTGAATGTTTGGGGTATGTAGGAATTTTTGGAAGTTCGTACTACTGTGTACTAAATTTGGTACAATTTGAATTGTGAGTGCGCCGATATAGTTGGAATCCTGAAACTTGTATTATTATAATTTATTGCAGAAAATGATTTCAGAGAAATATTCCATGTATAAATCAATGATTCCTCGAATTATACGTTGATTCTATACAACTATACCCGTAGTGACAGTTCAGCACAGAGGAAGGCTGCAGAAGAACATCAGTTCGTACTGATCAACAAATTGTAATATAAGTATCCATTTAAGAGTTCAATGGAATTTGTGAGACGGTGGCCGTCGGATATAACCTCAATGACAGAGCGTGGACGTGCCTTTTAGTTCTGAAAAGCGGAAAGACAGATAGCATTTCGCAAAATCTGATATTCGACTCAGTTGAGAAATATAATATTCTCGCATGAATTAAGGTTAAATATTAAAAAAAAATTACGGAGAGAAAGTCAAAAAAATGAAAGCCTAATGGACAATAATGGTATTGGACTGTTTTTTACGCTATAGAAAAATCGTGGTATCATATATAGCAAAATTAAAAGAGTTTCACCTCTTCCCAAAGGATTAGGATGCAAGGAATAATATACCCAAAGAAGCCGCAGTGAAAAATAATGATTATGTTGTCGATTACCTATTTATAAGAAAATATCAAAAATTTGCTTTAATTATGACCACTCAAAAATTGGGTCAATTCATAACATTATTTTCAATACGGTTAAAGGTGATTTATTCAACTTACAATCTCACTTTCTATAGTTTTGAGCATCAGTATCTATAGCTCATTTTCGTACAAATCCGAAACTTTGTAGGATATAAAATGGCAATTTGAAATTAACAACATATATATTAATAATATATGGTGGAACATGCGAAGCAAATCAGTTAGCAATTTGAAAATAAAAAAGGGGCATATGGATACCTTGACAGTGGTCCCCATAAGGGGGCCAATATTAATAATTTTTGGTATTATATCGGACGAAAATGCACATAGAAGCTATAACCAAATTTTAGACGATTTCAGGAAAACTGAACACTTGTCATTATATGGCACTATTTCGTCTTAATCGGACAAAATGTTGGAGTTCGGAATTTGGACTCGTACTTAGGTATACTATTGTAAAATTAGACGAAAGCATATATGTGACGTAAATCTAAATAAGAAAAATGAGCTATGCCAAATTTAATATCATAGATAATAAAACCTGTAGAAGTAATGGCAACGTGGCCGATGCTCGTCCTAATGATAATGGCGTGATGGCCGTCCAAAAATGTCTTTGTCCCATACAATTTCACAATCACTCAAGAAGCCTTTTGTCGATTAATACATACAAATTTTAAAAAATATTATTGCTGAATGAGTCATGGATCAATGCGTATCAGTTCTAAACGAGGGAAACACAATGACATTTATTCGAGGAAGAAGCTCTTCAAATAAAATTGCCGGTTGTTTCTTTGGCAAAACTGGTGGAAATGATCAGCTAGAATAACGTAGAAGGTCAATTCAGAGTGGTACAACATAATTTTTGACTTAAGTTTCGGTGCAATTCAAAAAAAGAACAAGATAAGACGAAAGATTATTTTGGTATAATGATGACCCATGAATTTGGAAAAATGTTGTGCACAAATAATTGATGGGTCATCAGCTGTAGAACACTGATTTGGCTCCCAATGACTTATTGTTATTATTATTATTCCCGGACAAGAAGAAAACTCAAATTTTTGAAAATTGTCGCCGCCAGAAGATTTTGTTGAAGCATTAAAAAAAAAAAACAGTTTAGGACAGAAATATATAGTGTATACATCGTGCCAATTTCTTTCTGTAGTGTCAATTCTTTATATTTTTACTTTTGCGTAGTTTATTTCTTAAGTCATATAAATGAAATCGAACGATCGGTGATCCGATTTTAATCGAACTTGTCATACTTTAGTGGCAGGTACCAGATAGGGTAACCGGATAATCCATGTTCGGATTAAATATAGCTTTTGGTAAAATTATTACGAATCAAATCGCATACTTTTTACGCTTCTTTAAAATTCTCCCATATCCGACTTCTACCATAAAAAAATATTATAATAAAGGGCTACATATTCTCTTTCTTAGACTGGCAACTGTTCATGATCATGTTTTCCCCGAAGTAAACATTTATTTTCCACACAAAAGTCATGGTTCATTTGACCCGCTAAATATTGTCCGATGGTCATCAAAACAACCCTTGGTAAAATTCCCATATCGGTGTAAAATGTGTGATGTGCGGCTTATAAAACAACGAAAACTAAAATGTTCGGTCCATGTCATGCCCTAAATATTACCTGACCAATTTAAAAAGTTATATATATGTCGTGCTTGACCATAATCGGAATTTCATAGCGATTACTGTGACATTTTCGTCCTCTAGTGTGGTAATTGTCAACCACTCCCCTTGAATATACTGTTAACTTCTATAGTCTTCTTCCTCTTCTGGAGTAATTATATAAACCATAAAATTGAAAATTTGTAATTTTTCATACCTGGTGTTTATTTTACATCAATTTATCTTGATGTTTTCATCAATTTATCTTGACGTTACAATCTTTCAATCCATACAAATATACATCATAGATGTGTGGGGCAATAACTATTAAATATGTGTCTTTTTTAAGGGATATACTTGAGTACTAGAGATACAACAGAAGAAAATATAGCTTTTATTGAAATTT